TGGCTTATTAGCATCCCTCGCGCAAGAATTCTTTCTATCTTATTATTCAAAGTTCTAACGAACAAGGCCAAGACGTGTCATACGTTTTAGAAGAGACATTTATATATGTAGAAGACACTTACTGCATTAGAAATAAGAAAACGACTTGTATAAATGACATAATAAATAATTAAGAAGTCGATAACAGAATGATAAAAAAGAATAAGAGTATGATTTGCATTAGTCTCGATATTTATACCATTTTTATGTAACTAATTAAGTAGTGTAAGAGCATGCATGCGAACACTTCACAAAAAGATTAGCCTAAAATGTCTTTAAAGATAATCCAAAAAGAAATAAATCAAAAGCGCGACTCATGTAATGTGTCTTGTAAAAAAAAAAAAATGTAATGCGTCATGCCCACGTGAGATGATGTTACAAGCTATAAAGTGAGTTTCTTTTTTTTTCTTTTTAGAAAAGAAAATGAAAGTTACCGCTTCATGTCATTGATCATGATCATTTATATTTCAATTCCAAATCAAGTTAGCATCAATTAACTGAGACCAAACTTCCATCAAATTAAATTTTGTGCAACTTAATCTGTTACGGTCTTGCGCAAAAATAATAATGAGTATATGAATAAACAATAAAGTCATTATGAAGTTCATATTGGCTTATTAGCATCCTTCGCACAAGAAATCTTTCTATCTTATTAATCAAAGTTCTAACGATTAAGGCCAAGACGTGTCGTACGTTTTAGAAGAGACATTTATATATGTAGAAGACACTTACTGTGTTAGAAATAAGAAAATGACTTGTATAAATGACATAGGAATAAATAAGAAGTCGATAACAGAATAATAAAAAAGAATAAGAGTATGATTTGCATTAGTCTCGATATTTATACCATTTTTACGTAACTAAGTAGTGTAAGAGCATGCATGCGAACGCTTTACAAAAAGATTAGCCTTAAATGTCTTTAAAGATAATCCGAAAAGAAATAAATCAAAAAACGCGACTCATGTAACACGTCTTTAAAAAAAAGGTAATGTGTCATGCCCACGTGAGATGATGTCACAAGCTATAAAGTAAGTTTCTTTTTTTTTTCCTTTTTAGAAAAGAAAATGAAAGTTACCGCTTCATGCATATGCATATGTCATTGATCATGATCATTTACGTTTCAATTCCAAATCAAGTTAGGATCAATTAACTGAGACCAAACTTCCATCAAATTAAATTTTGTGCAACTTAATCTGTTACGGTCATGCGCATAAAATGGTTAACATTGTAAATTCTATATAATAAACTACATGAACCAAAGATTAATGCATGAAAAATATTTTTTTAACCCTTTTAATGAAAAGTAAATCGATGATATGTAATAAAGAAAAAAAAAAGAGAGATAAAAAAGTAAAGTGACTCCTGAGATAGGGACGGAATTATCAACTTGCCACTTTTAAGATTTGCTAACAAGAATAAAAAATCTAACTAATTAGTCTCTCAATTTAATTATCTGATTATTGGACACGTAAGTTGCACGTATATTACATTCAGGTCGATCGTTATGAAATTCATATTAAAAATAATAATGAGTATATGAATAAACAATAAAGTCATTATGAAGTTCATATTTGCTTATTAGTATCCCTTAAATTTTTAATAAAGATTTAAAAATTTAGAAAAGGCGGTAATTATAGGAGGCGTCTATATATGAAACACTTACACGAAAAACAAAAGAAATTAATGATATAAATAACGTAATAAATGAGTAAGCGGTAGGTAAGTAGGAAAAAGAGTAAAAATATGATTTGTATTGTTAAAGACAAATACATTCATAGAGGAGAAATTGATGGCTTCCCACTACAAAAGAAAAAAAAACTAGAATTAGCAACGAACGTCGTCGCTAATCTGTCGCTAAAACGCTTGTAACTAGCAGAATTTCTCGATAATCCGTTGCTAGTTAAGATTAGCGACAGATTTTTCTGTTTAGCTACAGAATCTGTCCGTCGCTAAAACCTGATTTTTTAGTAGTGTCCAAATCTGAAGAAAAAAGGAGAATGTACTGTTAGTGATGGTCGGATTCGAAGAAGAAGAAGAAGAAAAAAGATGACATGATGGTATTAAAATGTATAATTTTAACTTTAGCTTATGCATTTTTTGATATTTTTTTCATGGTAAAAATTGCCATGTGGAATATCTTAGAGTATTTTATAAAGATTACGTAATAGACTTCACTTGTTCTTATTTAAGAATTTGTACTGTCCATTATGATAATGAACTTGTCATTTTGAAAACTTACTGTATATCGAATATGAGATTAATAGAGCTTCTCAATTTACCTAAGTCGCAAGTTACCATTTATACTTAATAGGAGAGAAAATTGAATATTTATTCTGAATGACGTTATAGAGATCGATAATATTTATATCGAGAACGCAAAGAAAGAAAACTCTTTCTATCTTATTATTAGTCAACTGCTATTGAGCAAGAAAATATGTTTGTCAGGAAGAAACAATTATATGTACAATAAATACTAGAACAAGAAATTAAAAAGATGCCAACACAAATGATGCCCTAAATTATGTTATGATAGTTGGCATGTGTGTTGCACGTACATTAAACAATGTAAATGCTACACAATAAACTTTACGAACCAAAGATTAATGCATGTAAAATGTATTTTTTAACCCTTTTGGAAACCAAATTGATGATATGTAATAAAGGAAAAGGGAGCAAACTATGAAAAAGTAGAGTTTCTTGAGATAGGGACAAAAATATCAACTTGCCACTTTTCAAATATGTTAACAAGAATAAAAAATCTAACTAAATAGTTTCTAAATTTATCTTCGACTCATTTAACACGTAAGTTGCACGTATATTACATTCTGGTTATTCGTTATCAAATTCATATTAACAAATAATAAAGAGTATGTAAATAAACAACAACGTCGTTATAAAGTTTATATTGGCTTGTTTTCCTTATTAGCATCCCTTGAATTATGATTAAAGTGTTGAAGTGTAGAAAAAAAATGTAGGAAATACTTATTAGACACGAGAAAAACCAATGGTATAAATGACGTAATAAATGAGTAAGCGGTAGGTGAATTAAAAAAGGAGTAAAAGTATGATTTGTATCGATCAAACATACATTAATGAATGGGGAAGCTGGTGGTGGTGTCTGTGTCAAAAGAAGAAGCACGACTAGAAATTCGGCCAAAATCGATAGCAATCGATCGGCCGAAAAACCGACCTAAGTCGGTCGGCTTAAAAAATATATTTTTTTATTATTTTTTTTACCAAACCGAGTGAATTCGGTCATGTTCTTTTGGCGCCAAATGCGAAAAATTATTTTTGCGTTCCAAAAAATTTAATTTTTAAGAATCGACCAACTTCGGTTAGTTTTTCATTATAAAATTATTATTCAAACAACCGACCAAAATTGGTCAGTTATTTTAGTTGGTAATTTTAAAAAAATCGATCGATTTCGGTCGGTAAATTCTTTTGTAAAAAATAGTCCGATTAATCGGTTATTTTCGCGCAAAAATATAATTAAATAGTATAAATAAAATAAAATAAAGTCTTAAACCACACTAATAGTCTAGTAGTAGAATAGTATTTTATCACGTCATTGACACCGGTTCAATTCCCAAATGGTACATTTTAATTACATAATAATTTAAAAAACGTTACCGAAGTCGGACCATTATATATACATATTTTTGGCCGATTGTGAAATTTAATTGACCGTCGGTCGGTCACAATCGGTTGTCTCTACCGACCGCCACGAATCGGTCAGTTTTTGATTGATTTTTGCCAATTATCGACCAACATCGGTTGATTTTGGTGGTCGGTTTTTGCCTTGTTTTTAGTAGTGAATGAGGAGGATGTACTAATGGTGGTGGCCGGATATCAAGAAGAATAAAGATGACGTGGTGGCGGACGAATCTGAAGAATAAAAATGAGGAGGAGGTGCTAGTGGTAATAGGCGACTTTGGAGAAGGAAATGGTGGTGATGATGGTTGAGGCTGAATCTAAAATAGGAGCAGGTGATAGCAGTGGCGGCTATGATAACGACGATGGAAATTGGATCTAATGAAGGAGGAGGAGGAGGAGGAGAGATGGTGGTTGCGGTCAAATCTGAGAAGAAGGAGAAGGTGCCAAAGATCAAGACGTGTCGTACGTTTCAGAAGAGACATTTATTAGAAGATACTTGCTGTATTAGAAATTTAAAAAAATGAATTGTATAAATGACATAATAAATAAGAAGTTGATAACTGAATGATAAAAAATAATAAGAGTATGATTTACATTAGTCTCGATATTTATACCATTTTAACTAAGTAGTACTTTTACTACGTAGTACGTAAAATAATCAATGTGATAATTCATAAGTTCCCGAACCCACCCCAGAAGAAGAAGAAAAGGAAAAGGAAAAGATAAAGATAAAAAGAAACAGTCAAAAACTCAAAATAGTGACATACTGACATGAAGGCTTTTAAAAGACACAGCTAGTGAATGCATGTCAATATTTTAGACTTCCAATCTCAACCAAAAGTTAAACTTAAAAAACAAAAATTCTAGTAACTAAGCACAAATCAATTTGTTTTCCGACATAGACATGCACACATATATATATATTAAGTAATAACATTCCACATATTAGCTTTGTGAATGTTAATACTTTTATTTAGGTTTTCTATGATTATTTTAAGAAAGAATGTGCTTAGCACATGCTTGAGCCAAATATTCCAAGAAAAAGGATGAAGAAAAAGACACAATGACAAACCACTAAGTTTATTTATACATAGAGAGCTATAAAAAAAAAAAAAAATTGTTAATTTTGTTTAATACAATAACTGAACATTTTGCAGTCCATATACTCTATCAACACACCATAGTACACATTAGCTCTATACATGCTAATTATACCTTTACAAGTTTACATGCATGCATGTTTTCTATTTCTTTACCATATAAAAAGAGCTAATTAAACAACAACAAAATAATAATTAAGTAATTAATTAACCACACCATGGAGGATAATTAATCCCATCATCTAAGTTGCATGCATATATTCCTGGATCACTCACTGCTTCCTGAAATGAAGTTGTTGCTTTTGCTTCCTCCCATATTGAAGAATCATCAATTTCTGGCAAATTCATATTCAAATCTCTCCACATTTCTCCACCAATTCCTTCATTTTGATTAATATTGTTTTCATCAAACTCTTCAGCTGTTTGATTAATGTCCAGAAACTGAAACGAAACTAGATCTTGATCCCCAGTAGAAAAATTGTTGTTACCAAAATCATTGTTGAAATAGAAAGATGTGTGATCATTTCCCATACTCCAAGTTGATGGTGATGCCACATTATAAACAGCAGCTGGATTGCATGTGGGAGGAGCTGAAACTGGGCCTCCAGCATTGTCCAGGCCCATGGTATTGGGCCTAGAATTATGGGCCTGAACTTGGGCCTGGGCCTGTTTGTTGTAGAGATGAGGTAAGTTGAGTTTAGCATCGGCTCCGTAGAGTTTACGGGCCGCGGCATCGTATGCCACGGCCGCGTCATAAGAATTCTCAAAAGTGCCGAGCCACAAGCGGGCTCCGCGATTGGGCTCGCGGATTTCCGCGACCCATTTACCCCAAGTACGCTGACGGACACCTTTATAAGTGCAGCTAGCATTTTCAGGCCCGCCTTTACCTCTCATACAGCCTTTTCTTGAAGTAGCTTGAGTTATTTTTTTGGTTTTTCTTTCAACAGAGTAAGTTGATGACATTGTAAGGGAAAATGGGACTGAGTTTTTCAGAAGAGAAAATGAGTTTTTGGGTAGATTGACATTGGTTTTAGATGAGAGTATTTATAGTTGAGGAAAGGTGAAAATGGGTTTGCTTTAATGGAGGAAACTGGTATAAGATACGTGTCTGTTTACATGGTTAGCTTGTTGATACTTGTCAAGTGAAACTTTTGATCATGTTTGAATTTTTTTGTATTTTTTTACGTTTTCAGAAGATCATGTTTTGTGTCTCTAGTTAATACAAATGCTTATGCGTTTTTTTTGTTCTGAAGCAAAGGTGTCGAAGAGAAGAGTGTTACACCTCAGAATGCTGTTTTAGGTTTTCTTCTTCTTATTCTTTTTCCTTTTAAAGTTTTCCCATTTCAACCTGCGTTTCATATTAAGAGTGTATGAGTAGACAGTGTTAAGTGAACTCCGAGTACAAGGAGAACAAAACTTTTAATTTGTTGCCTTCCAAAAGTATTATCGAAATTTATAATATTAAACATGCCTTAATATTTTTATAGTTGTGAAAATATCTAATCAAGGATAAAAATAAGTTCTAATTTTTTTTTAAAATATATGAAAATGTTTCATGTTTTTTAAACAAATTAAAAATGAATGAGTGTGAATATAAAATTGAAGAAAAAGTGAGGTTTTTTTCCTTGTTTTGAAACTGGCAAGTAGAAAACCAAATTAAAAAATAGGATGAAGTAAATCCTTACGTCAAATCCGGGAAAAAATTGAGTGTGGATAAGTACGGAATCACTCCAAAAACATAGCAGGGGAGATATAGACAATTAAGAAGAGGTAGCTTTTTATATACGTGGCTGTTTAAAGTCTGATGGATAACAGTTGTGTAGAATTGGAAGTTAGTCCAGATTCATTTGTGGTATTCATGGCAAAGTAGAAAAGAGGAAAACTAATGAATGGGCCAAATAGAGAAGATTAGAAAGCTTTGAAGAATTAACAAACTGAAGTCTGTGGGTATAGTAAGTGCAGTTTTCCAAAGAGTTTCTTTTTATTCACACGAGTCTTGTGAGTCCGAGGAAAATATGTCCTCCTGTCGGAACCTTCCTGTCGCTAAGTACAAAATCTCGTACTACTGTCCCCCCCCCCACCCCCCAAGCAAAATAACAGCACTGTGTGAATAATGGAAAATGTAGTATGAGATTGGCCACTAGTCATAATAGGAAAACACTGACTAATTCGGATTTGCATCGTGTAAGAATATGCATGTGAACACTATTCACAAAAGGAGCCTTAAATGGCTGTAAAGATCATCGGAAGAGGGAAAAAAACAAAAACGTAACGCGTCATTTAAAAAAAAAAAATTAATGCGTCATGCCTACGACATATGATGTCACAAGCTAAAAAATAAGTTTCTGTTTTCCTTTTTGAGAAAAGAAAATGAAAGTTACATACCGGGTCATGTCCTGATCATTTACGCTTCAATCCCTAACAAAGTTGGCATCAATTAACTGAGACTAAACTTTCATCAAACTAAATTGCTGAGACGTAATGTGTCACGCTCTTGCCTATAAAAATAGTTGACATCGTACAAGGTTTGCATGGTTTGAGGCTTTTCATACGCCTGAATTTTATCACAAGATAAAAGATGCATACACCTTCATAAGTCGTGAGAGAATCTAAAACGCAAAACTATGCATTCCTTTTACCTTTATAATACACTAGAGAAAAGATCATATCATAACAGACAACTTCTTCTTCTTCTTGCCTAAGGAGCTGGAGGTGTTTGAATATTAAACTGAACAAATGAGCGGCAAGGATCAAGGTGGGTCTCAAGAATATTCGCGCGCGCACAGCCGCTAATTTCCAGCATGAGATGGCCGAGGTACAGATCCCAAAGACTGCAGTGTAATAGTATAATCTTTGATAACTTGAAGAGTAGGCTGACAAATTTTGCCTCTATATAGTCCTTAATGCATCCAAAACCCAGGCAACAACAGCATATGATATGTCAAGGCAGCCAATCATTTTAACGGTTTAAAACTTCATCAATCCTGACAAAATACTTTGACAGTAGCAAATGCTGCATCACAGGGATTTGCGAAGCGCCGTCCGTATCTCCTTCAACATCTCATTGACTTTAATCCCTTTCCTACAAGCAACGACATAAGAGAACTTTCACCATTTGCCCCCCAAAGTAACATATAACTATATATAGGCTGAAGAGGTTTGGCTGAAACCAGCGCCGTTCTTTTGTCTTGGAGAATAACATAATTTATTTATCAAATATGGGATCCATAAAATATGCAAAGTATATGTGATGAGCACAAAATAAAATATAACAATGAAGTGTCTTTTTTTCTTTTTTCCTTCTTTTTCTTCTGTGTTATGGAGTAGATTAATTCCTGAAAACTTGGTTGTGACATGACATAATTACAGATATGACAGCGTCAACCATATAAATGGAAATAATGAACCTGACATATTATTTGGACAGTCAAGACTTCTCTTAAACACAGAAAGGTATGTAGGGATATCTAAAGTTCCAAACTGGAGGGTCATATTAGTGTCTTCCTAAATACTTCTCCTATGACAGCAACATCAGATATATCTTGGAATTAAGTGCCTGACAAATAATTTGGAGGAAGAAACTTATTTTACCGGCCAAAAGTCACACACGCATGTCTAAATTTCCAAAATGAAGGGACATCTGTGTGTCTGTTACAGACCATTCTAGTTACGCCGTATTCCAGGGGTTTATACTTTTTAGTAAGGCATATAAGATTCATACACTTCCTAGTTACATATTATGCAAGGGGTTTATAAGTATTAGGAAAGAAGCGAAAGCTTTACCATTACTCCATGAATTCTTTATGTGTTACTAGCTTTGACAACTGAGCTACCAAGCTCTTTTAAGGAACTGCAGACATTCTTTTTCTTCCTTTGCAAATGTAAAAACTAAAAAGAATATCTTTCAATTAGCAACATGAAGACCATTTATTCACGTCTCAACCAGGATTGAGAAAAGTCACAGGGCATATCAAAAACATCTTTCTCTGTGTTAAGAAGAAACACCAGAAATAAGCAGCACAAATCTGCGTTTCTAGATGTAATATTCCTAATACGTATTATCGCATAAAATTTCAAGGAAAAACATGAGGGAGTTTGAGAATAGCTTTAACAGTTTCCAAACGGGTTGCTATGCTAGATTTTAACTCTTAGTAAGAAAAACTACTTCGTAAAAATAAACAGGAAAACTAAAGTTATCATATGGGCTCTTTACAAGGATCTTTATCAACAGAAAAGACAATTCTTACCAGGATATGTTTGTAAAGACTACTTCATACATTTATACAGGAAAACCTCAGAATTTGGAGGACAGGTTTAGGTGAGCTCTCTACGAACTTTCCTTTAAAGTTAAAACCCAAGTAAGACACCAGTCACACCGCCTAAAAATCATACTGAGAGTGTATGATCTTTGAGGCTTGAATTTCTGAAAACCGCTACTGACTAAAAGGTGCTTAAAAGTTAAAACCAGCTTAACATACATCACGAGAAACAATACCACCTATTGCAATTCACTGATGCAGCATAGAAGTTGACTGAAATAATGTGTTACTCAAGGAAAGCCTGATGCATAGAAATACTGTAACATTGAGGTCATCGAGTACAGTAAACCTGGAAAAGGAGAGATAACAGAGGAACTTACAGTACACTAACACCAACAACAGCAAGAGGGCATGGATACTCTTCAAGTTCTTTAACCTTCTGATCCCTAGCAGATAACCCAGAAGAAAGCTCACTGTTTTGGCTCCCGTCAACAGAAATGGACTCAGCCACAGCTCCAGAGCTTGAGTCGGGCTCGGTAGATATTCTTTCACACCCAATTCTCCATATTTCTTCAGTCAAGGTAGGGAGCCTGTCTATTGCCTGTCAACAGCATAATCATATCCTTCATATGTAACCAACTTGATAATCCTCGACAAGATGCATATTAAGATACAACAATTTTTGCAGGTGAAAGTAAGTTGTTGAGAAGGAACCTGACAGCAAAACAGAGAAGATAAGAGCCAGATACCTCAGGTTTGTCAATCTTGTTAAGCACTACAAGGTATGGTCTGTCAAGGTACTCAGGATTGTACATCCGCAGTTCCTGCAAAATCAGAGGTCATTTTCCTCAGCAGAATGTTAAGGAAAGAAGACACCAGGGTATAGATAGGTCAGACGACTTATTCAGAAAGGTGACCCACCCCCCTACAGAAAAAAAAACCTCCGGCATTTGGGAATTAACCATAAAACACAGAGACTGGATTAGCAGAGTAAGCAATTTTTGCTACAACAGAAGTAGCTTTGAAACAACTTATTCTCCAGCAAAATTATACTATAACAACTAGGCAAACTACAAAACGATCACGTGATACAAGCAACTTTATGGTGTTGTAAACAGACCAAGGTAAAAACTACTCAAGTGCTAAGCCCAAAGCAATTAGGCAAGACATTAATGAATGACATGAGTTAGAGAACATAAAAATTGGATCTCTCTATGATGAGGCATTAAATATTACCCAGTAAGACAAACACATCACATGGATCTATCTGTAAAGAAGGGAATTTAACAAAGAAAAAGGTTATTATACCTGCAATGTAAAATGTTTCTTAGTTGGAAAAACAGATAAAATAGCAGCTCGGTAACCAATACCAAGATGGACATATGAATTCATGTAACACGTAACTTCCACAGACTTTATTCGTTGTCCACCTTAGCGCTTAATCAGTCCAAAACGATTAACAAAAATCATGTTGCAATCCAAAAATGAAGATGAAGGAACTTGCATGGTGAAATAATTCTAAGGAAATAAGTAGGAAAAAGTTGCACATAAGGTAAGTTGATCTTTCAATCGTCCCACCTATGATCTTCGGAAGCCATAATACTACAATAGTAATCAAGAGTTGCTTTAGCCTTTAGATGCATCTGTGGTAAACTGGTCAAATTAAGAGATCCTTAAAAGTTATTATTTTCTTGTCAGACCAAACCGGGTCAATGAAGATGAAACTTACAACTGTGTGATTCCAGACTCATTTTCTTTTGTTAAGAAGCAATTAAGGTGTTATAACTATCTCGAGCAAAAAAATATGTTCGGTGATTGGGGTTAGACTTACTTCTTTCACAGTTCTGTAATCACTGACTGGGTCCTCGGAAGCTGCATCAACAACATGGACCAACAATCTTGTTCTCCTCAAGTGCCTCAAGAAATTACGCCCTAGACCCTGAAAGATAATTAGGACAACATGCATAGCTAGATTTCATTTTTGAGAGCGAAATAAGTAAAAGAGAAAACCACAAGGTTTGAGACCTCAAATTATTAGAGTGACTGCTGAATATAGTACAAGTACCTTCCCCAAATGTGCACCTTCTATGAGACCAGGCAGGTCCGCTAGAGTTGCTTCAGATGAATATTTGTCTGCCCCTAAACTTGGGTCGCCATCAAGACGTCCAAGGTTTGGCATCAACGTAGTGAATGGATAATCAGCAATATCGGGCTTTGCATGTGTAATGGCAGCCAATAGGGTCGATTTTCCAGCATTTGGAAGTCCCTGAGGAAAATTGAAAGAGCAAAGTCAAAGAAGGGTATCGGAAGGAGAAAGAAGAATCTGGGAGATCATTCCTTCTTGCACATGGTGGGAGATTTGGAAGGAAAGGAATCAACGATGTTCTGAAAGCAAATATGAAAGTATACATACATTGAAATATAGATGTATATCTTTTTTGGCTTTTTGGTGTAGACTAGATGATGTTAATAGGATGTTAGACTTTCTCAGCTTCCTACAGTGATTTAAAGGAACCAATTTGCGTGTATTTTGGCACAAACTGTGTGCTTATGTTATAAAATTTTACCATTCTCAAAATAAAACTCAAAGAGCCTAAAGATAACTGAAGAATAATAGACAGAATTGCATCGGTATTTGATCATTTAATGTGATGAACCAATCAGGTTATAGCATCTAGATCTATCACTACAGACAAATTCTACGATCGACCATTATAATCCACATATTACATAAAAAAAAAGGGTAGCTCGGTGCACTAAGCTCCCGCTATGCACTGGTCTAGGAAAGAGCCGGACCACATTGGGTCTTATGAATGTAGCCTTACTTTGCATTTCTGCAAGAAATTGTTTCCACCGCTTGAACCCATGATCTCCTAGTCATACGGCGACAACTTTTACCATTGTGCCAAGGTTTTCCTTCATAATCCACATATTACATGTGAGTTTTTGACCAATATTGTCCCTTATCTTTGAGGGTAGGCGTATTTTGATCCCTCAAATATAACCCTGAGCATATTTAGTCCCTTGAGTATGCTAAAGTGGAGCACCTTTAGTCTCACTGATACAATATGTTCAAAAACTAACAGTGTTACCCAACTCCGATTCATGAATCAAAACGTTTCCTCTCCTTTTATTGGATAACGCAAATTTTCACTTTAATTCCTCATTTTTAGATAATGTCTTCTAAAATTTTGACGTTGAAAATATCTCCTTCTGTGCCAGTTTTCAATGAGAAAATGACACTGTATAGTTGCTGTAAAAATAATAGCCGAAAAAATGTATAAAATTTGTATATTTTTTTGTATATATATACATTTAAAAATTTTGATTGATTTTTCCAAAAAGAAAAGTTAAAATTTGAAAAAAATAGAGTTGTCAGGATCACTTCTAGGCATATTATTGAAGCAAACGAATAACCAGGTTGTATTATCACTTTTAACCCGTGCCAGACACTATATACATTTGGTAGCAGAAAAAGTATTTATATATATTATATATATATATATATATATATACAAAAAATATAGAAATTTTATACATTTTTCGGCTATTATTTTTAGAGCGGCTATACAGTGTCATTTTCTCATTGAAAATTGGCACATAAAGGGATATTTTCAAGGTCAAAATTTTAGAAGACATTATCTAAAAATGAGGAATTAAAGTGATAATTTACGTTATCCAATAAAAGAAGAGAAAACGTTTTGCTTCAGAGCAGAAGATTTGCTCCATGAATCAGAGTTGGGTAACACCGTTAGTTTTTGAACACATTGTGTCAGTGAGACTAAAGGTGATCCACTTTAGCATACTTAAGGGACTAAATATGCTCAGGGCTATATTTGTAGGACCAAAATAGACCTACCTTCAAAGATAAGGGACAATATTGGCCAAAAACTCTATTACATGTTATTACTTATTTGTACTTGTCCCAATGACAATATATGTTGTTGGGGATCTAAAAGCTAAAAAGTCATCGAAAAAACTAACATCATGCCATCCTCGCACTTAAGCAAAACAGACATGCGTAATTAAGGAAATGAAGAAGGTCAAACGGGTAAGAGCTAAAAAGCAAAATGAGTGTTTTTCTTACAGCCTCCGTTTCAGAGATCATTTCACTTCTAAAAATAGCAAAGACGCATAGACATCTAAGCATACACAACATCCATGAATATAGTTCACAAATAGCAATAACGAATGCTTAAATTGATTAAGGGGTTAAGGTTTCTAGAATTACTCTCTTTTTTTCTCAAGATTTCTTTTCGATAGTGATGGGTGTCCGAGCTAACTTGTGGCACCTCGACTATGTCGTTGGGTACCTGCTACCTCCCACCCAAACAGGTACCGGATATCATTTAGCATTTTCTACCTGTGTTGGGATTTGAACCATGGCCTCTTATGGTTTTCATTCCACTTCATCGATAGCTTAGCTACACCCTTAGGTGCTCTCAACAATTATTTAAAAGTTTCTAAAAGATATGCCACAAACATTGCAAAATCCCTTCCTTACAACAAAGAAGCCAATTTTGACTGAAAGCAGTTCAAATTCTGCCATACAGCATTCAGAAGGTACATAATTTCATTTTACAATGTGACGAACCAAGTTATAGGAGATTTCGCAGACTAATTGAGTAAACGACCTAGCTAAATGTGTAAATGGTTGAAATGAAATATCAATTTGAATATGCATCAGAGTATACCAGCATATATTAGTACATGTCAAGTGAATCATGGATATCAGAATGCTAGTAAAGCTTATGCACATATCTGCAAATCACAAAAAGTTTCAAGTTTAATAATGATACTCACAACAAGACCCACATCAGCAACAACTCTCAGTATCAACTGCAGGCTAACTTCCTCTCCAGGCTGGCCAATAGCTAAAACCTGCGAGAAAGTGAAACAAATCAATACATGCCAACTGCGAACATGCAGGAAGGCTGCTATTTGCTTAAGAAAGCTACAGCGTATTAAGACCAAAAACCACTACCAATATTCATACTGGGTTCTCAGCCCACTTCTTTCTGTTCACCAAGTAAGTTTAGCATGTTAGCTCATCCAGTGTTGTCAAAGGCGCGCTTAAGCCCTAAAGCGAGGCTCAAAACATGTTGAGCGCTTCGCCTTGCTTTGCGGGCACTTCAGTATCGCATCAAGGCTCTAAGGCATACTTTCCTTGCCCATGAGTGTAATCCTGAAAATGCGACACTGAACAATTGATATTTCACTTTATCGTTAGTTTTTCTTCAAATTTTTTTGTCCATATATTTGTTATTCATGCTTATAATTATTGGTCTTGGACTACATATACATATTTTTACTTTTTCCTCCGGTTGCGCCTTTTTTTATTAAAGCCCATGCTTTATTTGCCCTTTGCGCTTAAAGCCCCAACGGGCCTTAGAGCTTTTTTGCGCTTTTCGCCTTTGATAACACTGAGCTCATCCAGATACAGTCACTTGAAAGGAGACCTTTTGCCAGCAAAACTGACACTAAGTGCAGTAAGCTGTCAGTAGCAGCAGCATAGCATATAGCATGACAGTCTACAGGATTCCCCTAGCGGGATTACATGAAACTAACACTAGAAAGCTAGTATCAGCTGAGTATATAAAATTAATTTTCCCTAATCTCCTCACCATGCATCATAAGGTTCAGACACGACGAAAGGATTATATCAAAATCAGATGTCTCTTAAAGATTAGGCTTACACAAACCTTATCGCTGTCATCTCTCATCATATTTGTGGTTAAACTCGTCATTTGTTTCTTTTTGTGCTCCGGAACTTCCAACAAGCTAATCTGCCACAACCACATAATACAGAATTAAAGACCAGGCATGCAGTTCCAAATAAGTGATACAGTATCTATTACTTGCAATGAAATACTTGAAGCACCAAAGAGCACATCCGAGAAAAAGTTAAATAATTCACTCCTTTTTTCTTTTCATTTTTTTTCCTTTTTCCTATATTTGATTGCGGACAATGTAGAAGTAAGATACCGACTACTAAAAAAAATAGATAGAAGCATGAAATGCCAAGCATGGTAATTATATTTAAGACCCAAAGATTTCTTACCCCTCCTTGTCCTCCCCTTGCAACAAGAACTTCATCACCTGGATTAGCTAGATCTGCCAAAAACTTTCCTCTTTTATGTTTCACAACAGTACCTGGAAAATATGGAAAAGCATGAGATGAAAACAGTTGGCATCACACAGCTATATGCCTTTCAAAGTACCAAAATCACCATTCTTAAACAGCTCCAAATGATGTGTCTAAGTAGAGAAAATAGATGATATCGATGCATAATCTCAGGGTAACCATCCATAAGTCTAAATTGTCGTTGGAGTTTCCCATGTGCGTTAGAGCTATTAAACTAGAGAAGAGCCAGAGAAAGAACAAACCTAGTGGAACAGGAATTCGCAATGTTGGTGCAGCAAGTCCATTTTGCAAGTAAGATGTTAACACACCCATGGCATCAACATTCCCCCCACGCTTCGCCTTGTGCTTGCTCTTGTTGTGAAACTCCAATAGTGTATCTTTGCTCTCATCTGCATAAATTACAACGTCGCCACCATGTCCCCCCATTGGAAGGATTAATGAGCCATCAAAGTCCCTTTTATAAGAGGGTTTCCTCTTAGTCTTTTCTCTGTCTAATGTTGGGCATATTAAGAACGGCACCATGCCCTCCATCTCCAGCACGAACTGTGATAACCACCTCATCGAAATATTTGTGGGGTTCTCTTATGAATGCATCAGAAGCGGGCGAAGGAGGCGTTCTGGCTTTTGCAAGTGCACAATTTACAGTATAGCTTCTATAATTTTCATAACTGTTCCATTTTCGAGAAGCGCTGTAGAAAAAGGACCAATATACATTATAGCAACAAGAACACAAAAAAATGTAAAAATATATCAGAACACGAGCTAACCAAAACAAATGACAAAAACAATCAAATCCATGAAATGATTGAGCGGTAATAGCAAAATGTCAAAAGAATATTCATATCTCAGCAGAAGTTCACGGTATAAATTAACAAAATTGAAGCATAATTTTTACTTTTCTTGACAAGTATTTCATTTATTTGCACAAAGAAGGTGCTAATATGTACAAAGGACTAAAGATTCCTTTTAAATATGGAGGGAATTCTAAAAATTCTCAAAGGTATTATTTACATCATGATTCAGCTTAAAATTACACGCTTACACCAAGAGTACAAAAGCGGCAAATCCTTAAATAAGCATTTAAATAAGCATCATTTATATTACACTTTTTTTTATCAAATGTGGAATAGTCCAAGATAAAGCTAAAAATCGTACCTTTTTGGGAGTTGTGGCAAAGGAGGGGAGAAGGAGAGCGATAAATCATTAGTAAAGTTAAGGTTCAGAAAGGAAGAAGAAGAGTGAGAGAGCATAGACGCCATAGTAGTGGTAAAATGGGTTGGGCGCCAGAATATAGAGGATAGAAGAAAGAGGATTAACTTCCGCTTTTTATTTTCGTGAGCTTCTACTCTACTTTTTCTTTTTCCCTTTCCGCGACTACTCAGCAATTTGTTTTTAAAAAAAAACATAAATATAGTTTGCAGTATCAATATTTTTTGCATTTATACAGCATCATTTGAACTTTAGACCGAATAAATTATAATTAGGCTATGTTATAAGAAAAATTAAATTATGGTGGATGTCTACTATTCTTCCATAATCTTCTCAAATGATTAATGACATATTTTTCTTCACTTTTCATGCCTATATAAATATCTTGTAATATAAATAGGAAAATACACACAATTGAAAAAGAAATAAGAATCTCTATCTCTTTCTCTATATATCTCTTAGCTTATTTTTCTTTATTCTATATTGTTACTTTGAGGCTTTGAGCTATATTTTATAACACGTTATCAGCACGAAGTTTCTAACCTCAAGGTTGAATTCCACTTCTTGTAAGGCATATATCGATGATCTATTGTCAAAATTATCCAGATTTTATTCAGAAAGGTATGTAGTGTTACAGACACGTCTTTCTGCTACAACTACAAGTCCGAGCTTTAAACCAAATAAATTTGTACCCCTATTTAGAATAAACAATGGTCTGGTTATTAGAAAATTAGTATTTATGTGGCTGTTAAGGATGTCACATTATTAAATTTTCATGAACTTATTAATAGGTGGCATGCGGTATACTAAATAATCTACAAAATTAAAGTTATACTTTATTATGTATGCTTATAGTTTTTACCTTATAATACGATTTTAGTATGCCTAGTATAATGATTATACATTAGTTTACTGTCAA